TTCTCCCGCCCCGGATGCCGGCGGGAGGCTGGAGATCGCCGCCCTTCCCCTCCTCGGCTCATCGCTAATCTGGAAAGAAATCCTGGCTCCTCTTAAATCGAGCCGCAAAGCGTCTTTCGGCGCTCCGCTACGCAGGTTCACAGACACCGCGGCGTTTTCTTCTACACGGGGTGGGGTGGGCGGTTGTGTGTCGAGGAGCGGGAGCGGGAGCGGGCCCCGAAGAAACGCGTCTCGTATACAATCCCACCGGCTCGTGAGTTTGTGGCTTTTTAACGCCCAAACCGACTTCATCTGGCGAGCCCGCTTTCCCAGCCCTTGCTGGACTCTTCTTGGACACCAGCCCCTCCAGCCTGGCCCTGGGCGAGGCCGCGCTCCACAGGAACCACGTCCGGCGGTCTCTCCGGAGCGCCCTCCAGGGGATGATGGGTTGAGGCCAGCAGGCACATCTCCTGCCCGAAGAGCCTTTTCAGGCATTTGTACAGATGAGGCAGAATTTTACTACCCTGATGGAAGAGGAAGCCCTAAAAAGCCTAGAGCGCGCTCTTCCGCTGCCTTCCTTCCCCTGTGCAAGACAAGTGTTCGCATTACTACGTTTGTTCCCGATGCTTAAAGAGGCTGTTACTACTGTATGTGCGTCACGAGGCATTGCCGGTGCAGTCCCTTGTCTCTTTTAAGTCCCACGGGTGCGTGGAAGTGGGTGGGTTGCAGCATCAGACTGAGAACACATGAAGGATTACGACTGCCAACAGAATGCCACAGAAAATGACACGAAGCCTTGGCAAAAAAGAGGTTACTTACCTGTAACTTTGGTTCTTCGAGTGGTACTCTGTGAATTCACACGGCCCGCCCGTCCTCCCCACTTTCCGTCACGGCTGTCTCGCTTTTAGAGCAGCAGCGGAATTTGGGGAACTGAATGGCTGTTAGGGCGGGCGGACCATGAGGTCCTGGGGGGGCGGAGCCAAAAGTGTTACTTTAAGCTCTAGAATGTTCCGAGGCCTTCTGCGCAAGCGCAGATTAACCCATTAGTGTGAATTCACAGAGTACCACTCGAAGAACCAAAGTTACAGGTAAGTAACCTCTTTTTTGCCAAGGCTTCGTGTCATTTTCTGTGGCATTCTGTTGGCAGTCGTAATCCTTCATGTGTTCTCAGTCTGATGCTGCAACCCACCCACTTCCACGCACCCGTGGGACTTAAAAGAGACAAGGGACTGCACCGGCAATGCCTCGTGACGCACATACAGTAGTAACAGCCTCTTTAAGCATCGGGAACAAACGTAGTAATGCGAACACTTGTCTTGCACAGGGGAAGGAAGGCAGCGGAAGAGCGCGCTCTAGGCTTTTTAGGGCTTCCTCTTCCATCAGGGTAGTAAAATTCTGCCTCATCTGTACAAATGCCTGAAAAGGCTCTTCGGGCAGGAGATGTGCCTGCTGGCCTCAACCCATCATCCCCTGGAGGGCGCTCCGGAGAGACCGCCGGACGTGGTTCCTGTGGAGCGCGGCCTCGCCCAGGGCCAGGCTGGAGGGGCTGGTGTCCAAGAAGAGTCCAGCAAGGGTTGACCACGGCTGGGAAAGCGGGCTCGCCAGATGAAGTCGGTTTGGGCGTTAAAAAGCCACAAACTCACGAGCCGGTGGGATTGTATACGAGACGCGTTTCTTCGGGGCCCGCTCCCGCTCCCGCTCCTCGACACACAACCGCCCACCCCACCCCGTGTAGAAGAAAACGCCGCGGTGTCTGTGAACCTGCGTAGCGGAGCGCCGAAAGACGCTTTGCGGCTCGATTTAAGAGGAGCCAGGATTTCTTTCCAGATTAGCGATGAGCCGAGGAGGGGAAGGGCGGCGATCTCCAGCCACCCAACAGCCCAGCCGTAATAACCCTCTAGCATGCGTCCACTTATCTGGCAGCCGAGGGAATCCAAATATCCGCCTGACTACAATCATGCTATCCAGCATACTACTGATTTAGTACGCAAAATTGTATACATTTCACAGAGTGGCAGGGCTGAACTACTTCAGAGTGCTTTTTTTTTAGATTTGCTAACTGGTTGGCTTTTGCTATTATTCCTTTAATCAAGATTTTGTTTTAAACTGTGTACTTCAATATTGTTAGCTGCCTTATGTATCACTTTGTCTAGACATGGGCACCCCATATTTGCTTACTTGGCTGAGTGGGGAAACTCCCTGTCCCGCCTCCGTGCCTAAGAGCAGCACACTGCAGGCAGCAAGGCTAGTTTTCACTACATTCAGCCCTGGCAGGGTGCATCACAAACTGCCTTTTGG